CTTGACTTGAAGATGAAGTCCATTCAGGCCCGGTTCTACGGGGGTGCAAAAGGGTGCATTGCACCCTCAGTTCAGTCGTTATGCACCCTCATTAGAAAAATGAAAAGTGAAAAAAAAAAGAAAAGTGAAAAATATTACATATATAATAATAACAATAAGAAGAAGAATATAGTTGAAATAAAAAAAATTGTAATTGTGGTAAAATAACAGTCTGCTGCATTTATTTGGTCAATTTAAACGGTAAGTAACGTTATTATGTCAGGTGCGCGTGACCTGTGCCGCTGCACGTTCATCATCTGCAAGGTGCTTACACAGCAGTCAATGATGGACATCAGAACATGGTTAAAACAACCAGCCCTTATCGCCAGCAGTAACACTGCATCTACTGCAGGTAATAACAGTTCAGATCATGGGGACATTACGTTACCCGCGGCCACTGTCGTGGACACTAACGTCCTCCCGCCCGACTCGCCGGCTTTGCCCGCCTCGCCCACGGAGGCGGAGCAGCCGTCTTCGTTGCCCCATACACCGCTACCACTCAGCGGCCTGCAAGACAGTGCCAGAGGACCTCGCCAAAACAGAGCCTGCCCAGGTATATTAAAAAAAGTACCCAACTCGTCTGTACATTGGGGTAAGCCGCTCATTTTGCAGCTCATGGTTTCTAAACNGTGGTAAAATAACAGTCTGCTGCATTTATTTGGTCAATTTAAACGGTAAGTAACGTTATTATGTCAGGTGCGCGTGACCTGTGCCGCTGCACGTTCATCATCTGCAAGGTGCTTACACAGCAGTCAATGATGGACATCAGAACATGGTTAAAACAACCAGCCCTTATCGCCAGCAGTAACACTGCATCTACTGCAGGTAATAACAGTTCAGATCATGGGGACATGATCGCCCACGGAGGCGGAGCAGCCGTCTTCGTTGCCCCATACACCGCTACCACTCAGCGGCCTGCAAGACAGTGCCAGAGGACCTCGCCAAAACAGAGCCTGCCCAGGTATATTAAAAAAAGTACCCAACTCGCCTGTACATTGGGGTAAGCCGCTCATTTTGCAGCTCATGGTTTCTAAACAGACATTGGCTGGAATATTCATGTGAAAAAGATGCCATCCTCTGCTATGCATGCAGACATTTTGGTCTTAAAAGGGAAGTGATTTGTAAAATATCCATAAAGAAAAAATAAATCTGTTTACAGTTCTGTTTCATGAGACTGCCAAGGCACACATCCATAGATCCATTTTGCTCTAAAAGTGCACCAGATTGATGCTTTTAACTTCAATATTTAAAAAAAAATCTTCCCGGGGGAGCATGCCCCCCGGACCCCCCTAGAGGAGGTGAGGACCCCCCTACAGGGTGTTAGGTCCACTCCCCACTTATAAAAATAGCACTTTACCACTGCACTCTCTCTAATCTCAGATGCACCCTGAGTCATTTTGTTCTGGAACCAGGCCTGAGTCCATTGGCCTATCCTTCTGGACAAAAATCTTTATTACTTGTTTGTAAAAGTCCTCCTTATCTTCTTGTAGTTTCAAAAGTCTATCATAAATCTAATCGATAGATTTATGATTAGAAAATTATAAAAGTAGGGTAGACATGTGGATATTATCCGGCTGAACAAAACGTGCATTTATCTAACAGGTACGTTTCCCACAGATTTGATTTTGAGCTATTTTCTAAAGTCCTATGGAGAAATCTCATTGCTATTTGTGGAGGGAAGCCATGCGCAGCTTACTTCCTGGTTTTAGGACGCGTCTCTCGTCTCCTCTTCACACACCACACTTTTCGCGGCACACGTACTTACAGCCAATCAGCTCTGAATGATGTGAGATGACGTATGGTGGGGATGGCAGCACTCTGCCATTCTGGTCATTATTTTTTTGCCACACACATTAAATAGGAAAATACTCTGAGCATGCGCAGTGTAGTTTTTACAGTCACCGTTCACTTAACAGTGAGAGGGAGGGCATGATCGGGTTTTGTCCCACATGGCTCTAAACAGCTCAATAGGCATACATTGTAGACACTAATTAGAAGAACACAGACTAAAACAGCAATGTACATACGAATCAGATGATTAAACATGATCTTAAAATATATTTTATATATATTTTTAGCATTTTTTTGTAATCATTATTTTTACTTTTACTTTTACTTATCATACTTTCTGATGACACTAGGTGGGGCTGTGCCGATGAAAGCAATGAAACTGCTTTCAAACTGCGATGAAAGCAGTTACTAAAATAATATCCAGGGGATGCATGCAGTGCTGTGATTGGCTGAGATAAGTCCGGCCGTGCGTCACGACTCTTTGAAACATCTCTGTTCCCGGAAATGAATCCACGAAGGAGCCGTGGAGGACCGTGGAGGAGCCATCAGTGTATCCTCGGTTATAGCTCCTCCAGAGAGCCTCCTCTCTCCTCTCTCCTCTCTCCTCTCTCCTCTCTCCTCTCTCTTCTCTCCTCTCTCCTCTCTCCTCGGTTATAGCTCCTCCAGAGAGCCTCCTCTCTCCTCTCTCCTCGGTTAGAGCTCCTCCAGAGAGCCTCCTCGACGCTCGATCCTCGGTCCTCGAAGTGCATTTAGAGAAATGAGATGTCCTTCAACATGGCGCGCTGAAATTCATTTCCGGGTCACTACCGGAGGACCGAGGAGAAGAGGAGTCGAGGAGGGGGATTTGATGAAATGAGAAAGGGCCTAGATCTAAAGATCAGCCCTTAATAACTTTAACTTCCTGTGTCATGATAACTGAGAATTTTGTCGTGCATTTCCAGATACTAGTGATAATCATCAAGTGGTTAAAGATAGAGAACACTCAAAGGCACATCACAATTTTATCTTGTGATCAGGGTTTGATAGGAAGCTTCCTCAAACCATGTTTATCAAAAGCTTATCTGCTTGAGGTCGTTTTTTGGGTCATACTTTTACCACCAGCAGCTATGCTCAAGTCTGTAATGACATGCACAAAAACGTTTGGCAAGAAGTACGTTATTTTATTAAGAAAAATGCAAGACAAAAACGTTTAAATAACACAGAATCAAGGCTTCTCTCTCATGTGTGGATTACTTTTTGTGTTTTTTACAGTTAGTAAACGGTGAGATGTACCCTCCCACAGTATCAGAGGTCCCTGTGCACATGGTTTACCCTGAACACTTCCCTCCAGAGAAGCGTCTGGTCACCGGTCAGGAGGTGTTTGGCCTCCTGCCGGGCCTCACCATGTATGCCACCGTATGGCTGAGGGAGCACAACAGAGTCTGTGATGTCCTCAAGGCGGATCACCCCACCTGGGACGATGAGCAGCTCTTTCAGACCGCCAGACTCATCATCATTGGTGAGCGTGTCAGGAGCAAACTCTTACAGTTTAAGTCTCAAACTGGAGTCAGCACCCACACACTCTCTCTCTCTGTGACTTAGTGATTGTAATACATTGCGCAATCAACATTTACTTCATAATAATAAGTACAAAAATGTTCTCGAATAAGCTTCTCGTAACATAATAACTCAATGAAAAGGCCTATATCAAAAGTTATTACTATAACAATAATTCAAGACCAAAAGGCAGCAAAAAAAACTTATGCAAACCTGGAACTACCAACATTTTTTGGTGTCAAAATGAGTGACATGATTCCCAAATTAGTGGTTGCCCCATACATTTCAGTCAATCTATTCGTTGGCAAATTGTTAATTGTTTGAACAGTACAAGTTAAAATGTCCATCTTTATGCTTCTTAAAATGAGCTTGCCTCAGTGTATCAATCAATGATATTTGAGTTTTTTGTATCCCACAGGAGAGACAATCAACATCATAATAGAAGAGTACGTGCAGCACCTGAGTGGCTACCTGTTGGACCTGAAGTTCGATCCCACTCTGCTCTTCAACGCACGCTTCCAGTACAGTAACCGCATCGCTCTGGAGTTCTGCCACATCTACCACTGGCACCCGCTGATGCCTGACAGCTTCCTCATCGACGGCGAAGACATCCCATACCCTCAGTTTATGTTCAACACATCCCTACTCATGCACTACGGGGTGGAGAAGATGGTGGATGCCTTCTCCAAACAACCTGCAGGCCAGGTAGATAAGCACAATCCACTGACTGTTAACAGGAATCATCTGCTATCTGCATAACACTTTTTAGATGTGAAGTTGGTTCCCTTTTTTTCTTAAGTCATCCACATCAAAGTTAACTTCCCCTTACAAATGCTTCCTAAATCTAAATGAGGCAACCTTCTCAGATATCGTTCCTCAGCATCATGTGCACGCAACACTTTATTTCTGTTTAATGAAATTAATAGGTGTTAGATGTTGTAGCCTGCCAAACTGAGGAACACGTTAGTCTTCTTCGAGTCCGTAGCAATCTCAGATGTCGTTCTGCCAGTAACACGTTATTATTGTGTTCTGACTTATGGTATTACTAACAACTCATAATGAACTAACTTTTTGTCTGTGTTTCAGATAGGGGGAGGTCACAACTCACATGTAGTTGTGCTTCAAGTGGCAGAAAAGGTCATCAAAGAGTCTCGAGCAACACGAGTGCAGCCCTTTAATGAATACAGGAAGAGGTTTAACCTAAAGCCGTACACCTCTTTTTATGAATTTACTGGTAAGCAGAAATATTGTTCAAAGTACAACCTGCTTCTGAAACTTTTTGAACCCCCTTTATTTCAATTGTTGTAATCTCTTTTATGTTTATGGGGTAATACAGCACATTTACTTTTTTTTCCCCAACATAAAATTAATTCAGGAGAAACGTGAAAAATAATATTATCACTCAGTATTTCTTTATCCTGTAGCAACTCTTGGCAATTCTGTAAGCAAAATAGGACGACTAAAACTCACTTTTTGTTATCACATAAAGTAACATGATACACTCAACACTTTGGTTGTTGCAAAAACCTGAATAACTGAGCTGCTTCTCATATTTTGTTCTCATTTTGGTACATTCTTTCATCCATTTTCTGTCGACATCACACCCTGTCTCCTAAAAATTACGTTCCCACAGAACTAAACTACATTCTGAATTACGTTTAGCAAGAAACGTATTTTCTCCCACGTTACGTTTGTTATGAACGTATCTCAAATACGTTTATTTTCTTCATATCTTCTAGAATAGGGTGACCAGACGTCCCCGTTTTCCGGGGACAGTCTCCGTTTGTATTGGCCTGTCCCCGGTTGAAACTGTCCCCGGAAATGTCCCCGTTTTTTAATATACGTTAAAAACACATAGCGAGGTGAAATAAAACGTTTAATGTCAGGACACACTGGGTAAACACTAAACAGACTGTGGTCAAACCAGCCCCTACTTCGGAAAACACAGTCAAGCCTGCCCGCACGTTGTATTGCGGTGCACGAATATCCTATGCATTACGGTAGAGGCCTGTAAAAACTGCCTTCAAAATAAAAGCGTTTACTCGGTCAATAACAAATATACCTAAAAAAAACACCAAACATATTCATATATATACTGGAGCTTAAATTAAGAAATATGTAGGCTACTATATATTGTGATCAATAATAATTTAAAACAAACTACGTATAACTACCACATTATAACTGAGTGAATGTAAAATGTAAAATGTTATGCAATTAATAAAATGTTCCCGGGGGAGCATGCTCCCGGACCCCCCTAGACTAGAGGGTGTCAGGTCCACTCCCCACTTATAAAAATAGCACTTTACCACTGCACCCCCTCTAATCTCAGATGCACCCTGTGTCATTTTGTTTAAGTACAGTGAGCCTTTCTAAAATATACAGTAAAGAGACAAACCCACCAGCATTATAGGATATACTATGACTTTGTGCCAAATACTTGTTGCTGATTTAGAGTACTGGCACCTTTTTTATTCCAATTCAAGCACTGTGTGCACCGTTATGGTGTAAATATAACCTATCTATCAATTGTATCAAATATAAAAGTCAGCCGAATTAGTATTGATACTGCAAGGAGACGTATTTTGTGAAAATAAATGTAAGATGTTGTTTCATTGTTGATATATTTATGATCCATGTCACATATTCAGTTTTGGCGGCAGTTCTTCAAGTTTGTCCAGAAGTCTTCTCATCAGGGCTCTATAAATAAAGAACTACGGCAGATATGTAATATTTAATGCAGCCGAACCGTGTATTACAATGCCGTTATGTGATGACCTCCAAAGAGAAAAGCAAGAACACATAAAGTATTTTTATTTTTATTTTTTTTATTTCGGATATCATATTTTATTAACACCATATCCCAGCGTGCATTGCGGCTAAAACATCCAATCAACGAGCTTCAAGCTGAGGATCTTGGGTTATCAGTTCGGTGGGTTTGTGGTGTGTATCGCTCGAAATGTCCCGTCTGTTTCCGGTGACTTTATTTACGGCTAAAGATCATGCTAAAAAGCCCAAGATTATAGAATTAAACGAATAAATAAAAACAAGGATAATTGTGTGTTATTGTTGAGTAAATAAAAGTCGATTTCAAAGGTGTGCTCTAAAATGATATTTATAAATGACTATTATCATTATTATAAGCAAGACAATAAATGGCAAAGATATGTAGAAAATAAACGTATTTAAGATACGTTAATAACTAACTTAACGTGGGAGAAAATACGTTTCTTGCTAAACGTAATTCAGAATGCAGTTTAGTTCTGTGGGAACGTAATTTTTAGGAGACAGGGTTGCACACTGAGCAGACAAAACCTTTCTCCCTTTTCATAAATGTCTCTTTTCTCAGCCACTTCCCCCAAATTGCAAGTTGTTTTCGGGCGAAACTGGGGCTGAAGTGGTTTGCAGTCAAATGCAGCAACTGATGTTATCTCAAATACATGCAATAGTGAAATGCTTTGTCACAGCGGTTTTTTAAATGCTAACATCTTCATGCTTACTTGCTCACGACATAGGTTAACATGTTGATTGTTAGCATGTTTGCCACTGTTTGGCTGGTTAGCATGCCAAAACTTAGCGCGAAACGGTACAGAAAATGTAGCAGAGTATTGCGGGCAGTCATTTTGCAGATATTCGAATACTAGCTGAACTAAAGTATTATCTGATAGGGCTGGTTTAACAGCTGTTTTATTTTTTCCAAACAGATGACATTGAAATGGCCGAAGGTTTGGAGGAGCTCTATGGTGACATTGATGCTCTGGAGCTCTACCCCGGTGTCCTGCTTGAGAAAGCACGACCTAACAGTCTATTTGGGGAGAGCATGGTGGAGATGGGGGCTCCCTTCTCCCTGAAAGGCCTGCTTGGAAACCCCATCTGCTCCCCTGAGTACTGGAAGCCCAGCAGCTTTGGGGGAGAGAAGGGCTTCAATATCGTCAAAACTTCCACCTTGAAGAAACTGGTGTGTCTAAACACCAAATGGTGTCCATACGTGGACTTCCATGTTCCAAGAAATGACGAGGAGCTGAAATCAAATTCTGAGCTTTAATCAATTCATCTCAATCAGTGTATTACTATGCTGACTGTAGGGGACATTATTTAGCTGCCAATGTGTTGCAAATTGTTCTCTTTAGGGATATTTTAATTATACATGACATTTAGTGGTTTCAATCCTGCCTGCAGAGAGAGAGACATAGGCTACTCTGAATCCAAGCAGGTCTACCTCCTGAGAAAAACAGGTGACAAATTCCATAGTTTCTGGAGCAGGAAAAAATATTTGCACTATCTTGAAAATGTTTTTTATTTGGTAATGGTAATTTTTTTGTGTGTATTTTCTCTTTTCTTTCAGTGAGGGTATAACATCACCATATCTTCTTGAAAAATGTAATGTAACTAAAATAGTCATAGTAAAACATTTCTACAAAATATGATAAATATTGTGCAGACATTCTTGTTGCCTGTTAATGGAAACACAACTCAAGATTTGAAGATTCAAAGATGTATTGTCATGTCATATGCTACGGTGTAGTTATGCAATTAATGAAAGTAGGTCACTTGTTCCTCACCAGCACAATTACAAGACATACATTTTTATAAAAATAAAATAAAATAGTCCAAAGAATAAAAATGTATTAATTAATCTTGGTTAAATTGACATGAATGTTAATAATCTGGGAGAAAATAAATTATACATTTCTAAATATAGTCACTATTTAGATAACCCACTTGGCAATTTAGAGTTTGAGTGCAACACACTTCTGGCTGAGCAGCTGATCTTTAACACTTCTTCATCTCTTTTTATGTCTTTTAGATGTTTTGAGTCTATGCATGTGCTTTATACATACGTTTGACTTTACCATTGAAGGAATTTGAATTATATTTGAGACAATATGCTTTATTAAGATGGTAAACGTGATGCTTACCATTAGCACGTTAGCATGCTGACATTACCATCTAGCTTGTGCTGGGCAGCCTCACACAGGCACTACTGTATAATGGCTACAGACTCTTAGTATTGTTACTTTTTTTCCAGCTGTTTAATGAGTTTCTACACAATTGGAATATAGAGAAAAAACATACAATCACAAAACTAGGTCGCTAGATGTGATGTCTTAGTTTGAGTTCTCACACCAACTTAATGACAGGAAGAGGATGTTGTGTCGCCTTGTGTGAGAAAAGTGATCACACTTTACTGTGGTTTTGTTGATGTCCCAAAAGGGAACCACAGGTTTACTTCTCTGTTTCACGTTTAAACTTAGCGGTTACAACTCAGTAACTTGTCTTCATAGAGCACAAGTCAGTGTATGTTCACAAAAACCCCAACTCAATATCCTCTTAATATTATAGATTAACAAGACTTTTCAAAAGTTGCTACTATTCTATTCTTAAATCCTACTAAAGTTATTCACCTTTAATCCCACGCTCTGACATTTGCAGAAAAGCTAGTAAATGTTTTTGCTGAACATATTTTAACCATACAATCTGAATTTGAACCTCATCTCTTTCCATCAAAGATGAACTTCAGTGGCAGCTTTTAGGAATTTCATACAACCATTGAATGCAAGGAAGCGCATTTCGTGTTATAGTCACGACATTTAATCTATTGATTCGTGTCACACAGAACAATTTTAAAAGCAATGCATTTCTATTGGCAGTATGTTTCGTGCCTGCAACACGTCTTTTTGTCCGGTCGGGTCTTTGGAAGACCGGAAGCTGTGTGGTTCATAAAAACATTTTCTCACTCAATATCAAGCCACGATTATTGTTTTTATTTTAAATCGTATAATGTCAGACTTTTTTTGCCGTCAGTGAGGAAAATAAATGGGGCTTAGAGCCTCAGAATACTGAAATATGTATTTTTAAAATATTTTTTTCCTTCTCATTTGTTATTCTTTTCTAAATAACACATTGTTATTTACTCAACAATAGCACACAATTATCCTTGTTTTTATTTATTTGTTTGATTCTATAATCTGGCTTTTTTGGCGTCCGTCAGGATTGAATTTCAAAATAAAATAACCGGAAACAGACGTAGGCGATACACACCCACTGAACTGATTGCCCAAGATCCTCAGCTATGGTTTAAGCTCGGTGATTGGATGTTTTAGCCGCAATGCACGTTGGGATATGGTGTTTATGCAATATGAAATCCGAAAGAAAAAAAAAAAATAATAATACTTTAATCCGAGTGTGCTTGCTTTTTTCTTTGAAAGTCATCACATAACGGCATTGTAATACACGGTTTGGTGTATAAGTGTCCTACACTAATAATACAAAGTTATTATGGCATTGTATGCTGTGTGTACCTTGGTGGTTAAAGCACGTTATTGAATTGTTTTTTTAATATGTTATATTTGATGAAAAAAAGATTAAGAGTACATACTTAGGGGGAAAGTAGAAGGTCAATGATAGAAATATAGAATATAAAAAATCAAGAAGATAATTTAAGTGATCTTTACAATAAAACAGTTTAGTGCCAGATGTACAAAGATATTAAGAGGTGCAAAACAGAAAAACTAATTAACCTTTATTTAAAATGTAAAGAATACTTTAGGTTTTCTTTTAAATAAGAAAAAAGCTTTGGGGGTATCTACAGATACATATTAAGCCTGACAAAGTACTTAAAGAGCTTACGAAAATGTTCTTATTACGATAACATATACTATTATTAATGGAGAATCATTTGTCATTAATGACAATATGCCCGCTGTATTTATAAATCGTGATTTATTACAACTTTCCATGCTCGCTTCAGATGTTACACGACCGCTCAGAACAAAACAGCTTTCGCCGGTTAGTGACGTCACGCACGTTAAGTAGAACACTTGTTGAATAATACACTAACTATATGGCTGATTTCGGACTCTGGCTCAGATATTTAGACAGAATCGAGTGACAGTGTGTCGTCAATAGACTCGGTGCACTTTCAAGAAGAGGAGTTTTTTATTGAAGAGGATGCCGGTGTGGTGGAATCAGATCATGCTGGCGAGTCTCACGTGGTGGAACCATACCAGTTTGAGCCACAGTATTCAAGTAGCGGTAGAGATACAGACGGGAGCGAAAATGGGGACGATGATCCTGGATTTGGCGGAGATCCGGTGCGGCAATTGAACACAGACTGGTATATACATTTGACTTTAATTCATAGAGATTCTCAATAAATAGTAAATAAATAATAATACATCATAATGTAGCAGGAACACTTGGCTCAGGCAACAGAACACAGACTAGTATATAGATTTGTCTATAATTCATAGAGATTCTCAATAAATAGTAAATAAATAATAATAACTCTGCTGAAAAAACAGCTTAGATCAATTTAGCTGGTCAGGCTGGTGTAAATTGACCAGCCAGTCGATATTAGGCTCGAATGGTTGGCTGTAGAGGGGTTTTGGACACTTTAGCTGGCCAAGATGGCTGGTTTATCCATCTATCAGCAGCTTATGTTTAATAATAGTATTAAATATACCATGCTGAAAGCTTACCAGGATTCCAGGTGACCAGCATACATTAAATACTGGTATGATTATTTAAACAAGAGAACATAAATATATTACAAAAATTGATTGTGTCATGTATTCTGGTATCTACCAAAATAAAAGGTATCTGGTATCTTTCCCAATCTGGCCTCCATTTCTGTGTGTTGAAGCCACTTCTTGAAGCAAACTGAAAATAAATGTACAGATATAAGTACACTGTAAAAAGAAAACTTGACATTTACGTTAACATTTGGGCTGCTGTGGTTGCCAGAACTTGACCGTTAAAGTATGGTAAAATACATTACAAATTACAGTCGGTTGGCATAGACCTTACAGTCAACAATTGCTTATGGGGAATTACAATGGCAAAAACAAATAGAGCTAGTGTACACGGTGCAGCTGTATTATCTGGGTAATAGAAGAATCGGATCAGGATTCGGTATTGGCAGACAATCAATATCAAATGAATCGGATCATTATTAGGATCAGCACTTGATCACCTTTGTCGACTTACAGCCTAAATACAAAGATAACTCCACTCCTCTCCTACCACTGCTTACCTCTAATGAGCCTTGGTAGAACTAGTGTCCCGAGTCATAGGGACCATAACTGACTGAAGACATGTGGAACAGAGTCCCAGACAGGCATGGTTCCATGTACAGGAAACTGGAACTTTGAACAGGTGTTTTCATCTTTTCTGCCTGAAGATTCACAACTTCTTGATCAGGTGTTTGATGTGGTCTGGCATGATCCGTTCTGCAGTGATGAATAAAGAAAACAAAGAAAACATTTTAATAATAGTAATGATGGTAACAACAATAATATTAGTAAAACTATTTATATAGCACTTACACAATTGCAAAGTGATTCTCACAACAAAAATAAAGAACAAAACAACATCAACAATAAAAAAACAAATTATTATAGGAATTAAGAGACAAGGACATTATAAACATTCTAAGAGGCCGACTACAAAAGGTAGACTCAATGGCTCTTGATGACATCAATGAGCAGTCCCAATAGATGCTGTTGTAAAATAAATAGGTCCAGATTTCTTCTATTTTGTGTTGGATGATTTGTTTTATTGATTGCTGATGGATGTTAACAAGTGTTTTACATTTATAACAAAAAGATTATTGTAATTGGAATCAAAAAGATTGCAAATCATAGTTTTAATAAAATCACTAGCAATATAGAATTTATTCAACAGCAGTAAAGCATCTAAGTTGCTAAATGAACGTACACTGTGTTGATTAGATAGATACACACTCCTACCACAAGGTGTCGCCACATAGTTGTGACCTATGTTTGAATACA